TGTTATTTTAGGAATTAAATTGCTTTTGTCTCTTTACTATTTTTGTTCTTTATTGCGTCATTTTGATAGTTCGTTACTCTTGTCATTCTGAACTGAGTAAAATTTCCTTATAAATCAATTTTGATTAGGTTCCCTTTCCAATTCAATCTCAGATTAGTTTTGCTTCCCAAGACTCTTTGCTTATTTACTTACTTTTTAGGGAAGTTTCAGTTGCACTCTATTTCTTATATTTGATTGAGGATAATGCAAATCTTACACTGTGGGGTAGATAATTATAGATGTTTGAACTGAATTGTTGTTTTATTCTTAAGCAATACTGAGTCAATTTTATTGTTACATTAGAAGATGATATTCCTGAAAATAAAAATGAAAACAAAAATAAAGTTCATATGCAGTTATTCTAGATATTAGAATTGTGTTTTTGATTGTTTCTCGATTGAAGTATCGGTAGATTTTTCTGATTTGAGGACCTTGAATTTATGTCCTTGAATCTATGCAAAAAAAAAATTATGCAATTAATAGAATCGTTAATATCTGAAAAATTGGGGCTCTGCTTAGAAATAAAAGAGCATGCCATAGAAGTATATCTAGTTGAATGTGGATTGCAGGCAATGTTCGGATACCACATTCTAGAACCTTGAAATTGTTTGAGGTACCGATGTGGAAAGCAAGTGGTAGAATTTCCATTAATACCTTGTGCTAATTGGGATGGAGCATAAAATGCACCCTATTAGCCGATCGTGGCTCAAAGTGAAGAAAATTAAATAACACCTTGTGGAAGAATTCAAAGTTTTGAATTAAAATTTTAAGAGCTAATGGTAGAGAGGTCCTTATTTCAGTTCTGTCTGAAGTTACAGAGGTTGAGAGCAAAAGAAGGCACAATTTGATGTTTAAGAATTACTTTCCCTTTAAAAATTTGAAAAATAAAATAAAAATAACAATAATAAAATTTCAGGAATTTAATTCTTTGTTGTCAAGGGTAAAATTGATCCATTCCTTTGCTTGGGGACAAGCAATCGTTCAAGTTCGGGAGAATTTGATAAATGATCTAAATACTTAATCCTACATGATGAGAGTTTTTAAGCTATTCATTGATAGAAATTACTATAATTAATCTCATTTTATTTATATTTTAGGAAAAAGGATCAAGAATGTGAAAACCTTAAAGATATCAAGAATTGAAGAAAGAAGAACCCAGAGATATATACGGGCAGATACACGCCCGTGTATATGGTCGTGTATCGCACTGGAATGCAGAGAACATGTAAATAATCAAACCAGAGATATACACGGGCAGATACACGCCCGTGTATATGAACATGTACATCACTGATGTTGTCAAGGAATGCATCATCTGAACCAGAGATATACACGATCAAGGTGCATGACCATGTATATGAGCGTGTACTGCCTATAAAGATTGTGAAGGCCAAGTATCAGAGACCAGAGATGTACACGGCCAGATACACGGCCGTGTACATGAGCGTGTAATTGTTAGGAAAGGTTTGAAGGGCACCTATTAAAAAAATAGAGATGTATACGGGCAAAGTACATGGCCATATACTTGGGCATGTACTTTTACGTACATCAGAAATTAAACTTTTGCGAGAAAATAAACCCTAGGACAATTCCTATAAAAGGAAGACTGGATTCAAACCTAAGGGAGGCGGTTTTTGGAGACGAAAGACTCAGAGACGGCAAGAGGATGGGATCAAGCGTTCTAATTCATATCTTTTGTAATTTTAGTTTCAAGATGTTTAGATTCTAATTTTCCTTTGAGTATCTAGACGTAATGAATCCTAATTGACTAAATTTTCTGGAATTCTTCTAATGTTATTTCATGTTCCTTTCTCTTGGGTTTAATTGAGTAGTATCAATTTTCTTCTATCTTGTTTTCTTGTTTGAATTTGAGTAAAATTCTTTCATGAATTTAACATTGCTCAATTAAAAAGACTTGAATATATTTCTAGAGATAGAAAGACATGAGTTTTCTGTATTAGGATTAACCCTAATTATGGAATTCATAATGAACTTAATGCAATCTAGGGGTATTAATTAAGGAAGAGATTCTGATTGATCAACTGAGGGTTAGGAATCATTATCCTTGAGAAAAGTATTGATTTAATTTAGAATTTCCTGCAGCGATAAGAGTTTGGAACTAAGTAGTTGAAGAAGAATTTCAATTATTAGGACATTAAGAAGGATTTACAATCTAAATACTTGCCTATTTCCCTTGAATACCTTTAGCCATAATTTTCTATAATTTATTTTCATAAGAATATCTGTTCCTTTTTAATTTATTATTCTTTTACTTTTAGCAATTTCATCAACAAAATATATTTTTCATATCTATTAACAATTATGCAATTAAGGAAGAATTTCTTAATAACAGTCCCTGTGGATACAACACTTGGTATTTAAATTTTCATAATATTACTCTGGCAGCGGGTACACTTGCCCAATAATCAATTTTTACACACCACCTTGTAAATATTTGAACTATCAAATTAATCTTTTAAGGATTTTAATTGTTACCAAAGTATCCTTTCAAAATGCTTATCACTATGTATCATATTTGTTTTTTTTCACCACTCTAGTTCTATTCAAAATTTATTTGAGAAAATTTTAGATTTTTCTCTTAAATATTATATTTATCTCCAAGTTAAACTTTTTTTTTACCGTTTTAATCCATTTTAAAAACTAATTGAATGACAAATTAAATCTTTGATAACTAATTCAGTAGGTCAAATCTTTGAAAACCTACTTAGTGACACTTTTATTTTTTGAAAATTAATGTGATTTTTTTTCTTTATTTTTTTTCTATAAGAGAGTTGCATATTTAAGACTCAAACTCAAAATTTTTGGTTAAATTGAATAAATATCACTAATTAATTTGAGCACACAATAGTAACATAATGTAATTAACATGTGTAAAAGTACGTGTAAAAAAACAGTAGCTTTTATTAAAAGTAAAATTATAAACTTTACTAAAAAATAATTTATTATTTGTTTTACACGTGTCATTAGATATACATTTAAAATATTCATTTTACTTTTTAGGATTTAATTTAAATAATGAATAATAATAAATTTTTACTTTATTAAATATTTTATTTTTAATAAGAATATTATTTGGAATATTTAAATTTAATCATGACTGAAGTTATCAAAATGGTTAAAAGAAAAATCTAGCAGCCTACGTCTCTTGTTTTGTGCGCCGAAAAGAGAACGAGATTTCCGTATTTCCATCAAGTTGATTAAGGGATGGTATTGTTAGGAGTTAAGGCAATTTTAGTAGAAGGGATTATAGTTACTTAAATAGAAATAAAAGGATGATAGGAAATGAATATTTATAGCACACATACATGATACATAAAGCATTTAACACTTGTATTTTATTTCTCACCAACCATATATCTTAAAAGGTATACTTTTTTAATGTAGAAATACACACTCGTGTATATCATGAATAATACTTTAATTTCCACATTAAAAAAAGTTACATATGCGTATGAAGGGTACGTTGATGCATGCTTTAGCCTTTATCTAGAAAATTAATGATTGTACCTATCAATGGGCACACAAGCACGCGAGACGTATGAGGGAAAAAACATTTGGGACAAGCTAGAGGCAAGGAAAGTGAAAAAGGAAATAATCACTATTAATTTTTAATTTCATAATTTGGCATTCATATGTGTTGGGAAAGACTTCTAAAACTATAAATCTGTCTAGATTATGTTAATTTAAGAATTTACAATAGACCATATGTATAGGAATATTTTAGGTGCGTTTAAGTCCACTTTAGCCCAGACAAAAAATTAAATAAGAGAAAGAGAATTGCCGTATCCATCAATTCGTTGTCCAAGAAAATGTGATGCATTCTTTAATAACCACCTATCCATCAATTCGCCGACATCCTCAGATAGAAATTTCTATGATCACTGCTTAATTTTCTTTCATATAGGAGATTTTATGGAATTATTAATTATAAAATAAATTTCCATGATATATGGGACTTTAAAAGATTTAATTATACTTCAGCGCTGACATTCATTTCTACTATCACTATGTAGCCATTTTATGTATAATACGTCCTAGCTAATCAATTTGCCAGGTGTTATGCTAGTATATGCCTTCATATTCGAATGTATATAAGATGTATTTTAGAATCATAAATGAACTTTCTAAAATTTTAATTTTATAATTAACTAAAATTTATTGAGACTCATTAATAAAAAGTGAGACACGTGTAATTTTGTATTTTTAAATAAATTTTACTTTATAATTCACTCTTATATTATATAGTTTTAACTTTTAGACGAAAGTATCTTTAAAAATTATTTTCTTTTATACCAAGTTGTGTGACTTTTTCATTAAATATCTAATTTTCTTTTTTTATTCTTTTTAAACATCATCGCTTAAATTTAATCATTTTAAGTTTCGGTACGTTATGTCAAATCAACTAAATCCTTTTCTAGGATTCACCATATCATATTAAGTTTTTATTTTTAAATATATTCTTACTTAACCAAAATAATAATAATTATCAGTAATAACAAATATTTATTATTCTATTAATTAATTAATTAATTTTTATTCATAAATTTTTATCTAAATTTAAAAATACTCATATAATGTACGAAACTTACTAATAAAAAATAATTTTAAAAAGAATTTACTTTCACATCTTTCATGAAATTGGCAATATATATATATATATATATATATAAACCGCAAGGCAATGGATACTTGTAAATTTTTACCAAGCTATTTAAAAAAATCAACTTCTAACTTTATGAAATATTATTCATTTTAATATTACTATACATAAAAAATAAATATCGTTTCATAAATAAAAAAAAATTAGAAAGTAAAGCATCTGAACGAAATAATCTGGGTGATTAATATATGGGAGGATATAGTCTACGAAAATGGTTGGAGAGACATTGACAACGGTAAACAATAAATTAATGAATAACTAAAACGAGTAAACGACATACCTTGACGAAAACCAAAGGAGAGAAACCAAGGTCGGGACCAAGCATGTGATCATGGACAAGATCTTCAGTGGAATACCCATTTTGGTTGAACCATTCTTCAAGGATCATGTCACTGTGGGACTCAGCGATGCGCACGCCGGCGTCGTTGCACTTTATGAAGGCTCGACCCGATTCCTCCACTCGGATCCGACCTGATAAGTGCGCTAAGTCGTCGAGGAGAAGGAACATGGGTTCCTTGAGGTCGCAAATTGAGAGCCCCAGTGCTGCGTCGTTGATGAAAAAATAAACGGCTCTGATGTAGTGGAGCTTCACGAGCAGGTCCATGTTGCTCAGATGCCACGCGCTGTTTTCATCGCGTCGTGAGGTTGCGGGTACCACTGTTGAGATCTTGGAGCTCAATGGAGGTTGGTTTTCTTCCATGATAATGAACCAATGAGTGAGAGTTGAGGGGTGAGATAGAATGTGTAGTACATATTGGTTTGAAAGGGCACCGTTCCTTTGAATCTTTTGAAGGGAAAATGCAGTAGGTAGAGTTTTCCCCTTAAAGACACGTGTGTATGGGTATAATTAAGCTCCACTAAGTCCACTATTGACTTACTTGTAGCACCAGTGTGATTCCAGTCAAAAGCGATTAAACTAGATAACAATTTCTCATTTTGATAAATATTACTTGTTTTATATGCTCCAAAGGAAAAACAAAAAACATATATTTGGTTGAGTTTAAATTCGTGTATTATCCATGCAAACTTTTTACATTACCAATTAATTAAAATATATTATAATGTGATTTAATCAATACAGAAATTAATAAATTTTATTGTTATGAGAATTCACAATTGGATGATAGTATAAAAATATTGTCTATTATAAATGCATTTAAATTTAATTTTTATTTATTATCTTGAAAGTATAAAATATGTGTAATATTTATACAAATAATAGATATAAAAATTATTATAGAACACACTAGTTAAATTATATAAAAATTGTGTCATCTATTAGTAGTTTTTTTTTACCTTCAAATTTCTCAACTAGTATAATTATTTTATTCATTATACTTAAAACTTTTAAATAAAAGAGAAATATTAATAAAATAATAATAATAATAGTTATTATTATCTAAAAGTTTTTATACCAATAAGTGCAGATAAAGAGAAACATAGGTAATAATATAATACCATTGTATTAGAGATATAATCACAAATTTTATTAAATAAGGATTTGTTATGATTGGTTATAAAATTTACTAACTAAATTAAATAAAAACTTACGTCCTATTATACAGTGGCATAATGATTGCTCTTGGTTGAAATGATCATGAAAAATTTTCATTATTGATAAAAATTGATTGCATGTGTAATTTCTTATACATCACTATTTCTAATTTTCTATTATTTTATTTTTTATCTACCAGTTAACTTTTTAAAACTATCTATACCATAAAATTTCAATGTTTTTCTCTTAACCTTTGAATTCCCGTCCCCTTCAGACCTTCATGGGTATTTTGTAAAGTAAATTATTAAATTAGATTACTAATATCGAAGTGTTGCAGTGAAATACTAACATGCTACTTTTTATTTCTAAGTTTTCAATATTTGTAGCAATAGAAAATTCTAAATAATATATATATATATATATGAACATGTATTTGAAAACAGTGTCCTAGATAAAATTGTTAACATTTATAAAAGAAATATCACCAGGAATTTAATTGGTGAATAAAATTATACAAAATACTAATTGCTCTTATTCCACTCTGAAACAAATGTATAAATTGATTGCTAATCAAATATTATTAACGTTACCTATAAAAAAAGTGAAATGTTAGAATTACTTTTATTATGGAATTTAGATAATTCAGTTTACAACTTAGGAGGCTAAAAAAATGTGAGAATTAATTGTTTATTTATCATGCGTTAAGTTTCTCTATAAATTTTAACTAAGATCTCAAAACAAATTTTGACATGTCCCTAAGTTTATGCAAAAGGAATAAGGGCAAGTATGACACTTTTGTATATTATTAATAATTATCTTGTACAATTCATGTACATTTATAGTTTAAGTAAAACTTTAAATTATACATAAATTTATTTTTTCAACTATACAATAAATATATATATATATATATATATTATAATTAAAAAGTATAATAATTTAGATTTGAGGAGCAACAACTAAGAAAATATTTGATTTTAAAAACAAAACAGTTTGACATAAGATATATTGTATTGAAAAATAAAATCAAACATACTCTAAATTTAAAATTAGTAAACTGAATTTAATTCAAGATATATTGTATTTGACATAAGATAAGAAAATAAAAATTTGACACAAAAAATTAAAACAATAAAACTGAAGAGAATTTGAGGGAGAAAAAGTAAATCTTAGAAAAAAGAAAATTATTTAACACAATTAATAATTTTAATTTATTTTAAAATTAAAAATAAATATTAATAATGAAAAAGTTAAAGGTGTCATAAGGAAAAAGAAAATGTAATATGTCTTTGTGATGATGAGTCAAATTTATTATATAAATGTTAATTCTCAAAAGTTATTTATTCTTTATTTTTTAGCATAATTTAAAATTTATTCAATTTAAAAATTAAACATTATAGAAAAAAATTGTAATTCCTTTTCTTTATCTGCCCCTTGTTCATTATGGAGAGATAAACAGAAAATCTCATATAATGCATGTATAATAATCACATATAGCTTACCTTACAAAAGAAATGTTAGATTATTTATAGCATAGATAAATATAATGATGTAAAAAAGATGAGTTTTTTTAAACAAAAGAAAAAAAAAATCTGAGTTTTCTCTTTCAAACTTTTGAATGCGTGGCTGTATTACTAAAACAAGGCTCAGCATTTTTTTTAATTTCTTTTTATTTTCAATTTAGTTATTTGAAAAGTAATTAATGCACTTAATTTAAGAAATAATTATTCAGCTATAAAAAATAATAAATATTAATATATATAATTATGCATATTTTTTTATATAAGGTAATTTTGTTCGAACATAATAAAATTATTATAAACAGTAAAACTCTTATAAATTTTAACATAACTACAAATATTACAACTCAAATTTTAGTTAATTGATTTACATATTCAATAATAGTATTAATATATGTGACTAAAAATAAAAAAATTTAAATACTATTTTAATCTTTATACAATTTTTTTTATTTTTATATAAAAAAATTATAAATAATTCTCTAAAATGAAACAAATATTTTTCAAATAATTCTTAGTATTAAATTTTGTTAAAAAATTGTTATTTTATATTTATATTTTTTTAATCCATATATAATATATTTTTTTATTATGATCCTTGTATATAATGTAATTTTTTATTTATTTTTATACTAATAAAAATTAATTGAGGATTAAAATAAAAAAATTATCATAAAGTGATTATAAAAAATATTATAAAAAATGATGTTTGAAGGTTAAGTAAAAAAATATTTTGCTTTTGTTCGTCACGAAAGATTAAAAATAAATTTTATGAATTAATTTTTAAATGTTAAAGTTATTTTTTTTTATTTGAAGAAGTAGGGGCAGTCTCTTATTTTTATTTTATGTTTTTATAGATTAAAATTTATAACTAAATTTGTTCATATTTTTAAATGAACTAAATTATTTATTTTATATAAACAAAACTTCAATATAATTTTTTAAATATTTTCTCTAATTAAAATTTAAAAAAATAATTAATACAGTAAAGGTCAATGTTAAAAGGTGATACTAATTTATAGTTTAATTGAAAAAAGCACTACTAGTGTTTAAGGTAATGTATATAAGTTTTATTTTCAAACAATTACTTAAAAATAATCTTTCAAATGTACTAGTGGTATAACACCAATGTATTTCATAAACACCAACTTTTCAAAACAATTTTTATAATTAAATAATATATAGATATATTATTTAAAATTTTTAAATTACTTTATGTACATTATTATAAATTTCCATAATCTCTCTTAACTTGTTTTGACAGTGAATTTTTTTTTTTTTACATTAATTTTTTTTATTTTAATTCCTATGCATACCAAATTCTTTTTATCTTGATTTCTGTAGTTTATTTATTTTGTATAAAAGAACTAGAATAAAAATTGTGTCATGTATCAAGACTATAATAAAAGAAAATTGTGTTATGTATAAGCATTAAAAAAATATATATAAAATTTAAACACGATATACAAAAATTATAAATAGAGACTATTTTTAAAATATGTTTGATTTAAAATCTTATTTACAAAATTTTTTATAACAACTAAAAAATTGATTGTAAAGACTAAAATATTATTTAAATCAAATAAAAATTTAACATCACTTTCATATAAAAAACATTTAATTATAATATTTTAAATATTATTTTTCAGTAAAACTAGAGTTTAAAAAATCGGTATAATATTATATTTAAATTAGTATATCTAAACTGAAAATGAAAGTAACAGAAGATGAAAGAGCATTGTTTTTAAAAAAAGAAAATGTAAAGAAATGTGACACGGTGAAATCACTTTCGACGTATTTAGAGATGTCGTATTAAGGTAGGTTGAAATGTCAACAACTAATTGCATGAAAATGATACGCTCCTTGTGGCCACATGCATGCATATCAAATCACCTCCTTAGTTGATCACCTTCTTTCCTTTCCCACCTAACCCAAGTAAAGCAACTTCATCCTCATCTTTATCTTATTATTATTATTATTGAAAATTTTACTATTTATAATAAAACAAAATAATAAAATTATTTAACAAGACAACCTGATTAATCAGGTAACTGTATTGATACTCCAACAACCCCCAATAAATAGCAATAAAATGTAAAACTAATAATCATTTAGAACTTCAATATAAAGTTAAGGGTCGTTCGATTAAGTTTTAAAATACATTAGGATGTGGATTTTTTACAATTTGTTCTAAGACTATTATTTTTAACTTCTAAAATAATCCTATATTTCTTCTCAAGTTTTAATTTTTTAAAATTTCAAAAGAATTTAATTTTAATATATCATTCATATAGAATTTTTCACTCTGTAACTAATTAAAATATATAATAGATATAATATAATTAAACTAACTTTAATTAAATTAATAATTTTTGTTGACGTGATAATTAATTAGATAACAATAAAAAATATTTATATTGCAGCGGATTGCAATTAAATCTATTACACATTATCATTATAAAATGTAAAATCATATTTAAATTAAAAAAATACTTTTATCTTTGATTAGTTTCCGATAGGAATGAGTTTTCCACAGCAATAGAAGTATATTATGAAGTTAATTATGGTAGTTTGGAGTTAGCACAAACTAATTAACTCACCAAGATAATCGAATAGTCCAATTTGGATAGGGGCAGTGTAGAGCACGCGTAGGTAAGGCAAGAGTTTTAGGCCTCATTTTTTATCTTTTTATTTTTTAATATACCTTTAAAATTAAAAAAAATAAATTTAAAAATAGTTTTTAATTTAAATATTTAATTTAATTATTAAATATTTATTAGTATTATAAATAATATTTAATGAGCCGTAATTCTTAATCAATAATAATA